TCATAATATTTAACATATCTATTCATTTGATCTGGTGGCTACTTTCAAATAATCTTCTGCATCATTTTTTTTCAGACTTTGAATCCATGTAGGAATTTATGAAGCATTTTTGTTTTATCATCTCTGTGAAAACATGTTAAAAATATCTATTTTATCTAAAGAAATTTCTTGTGCGCAGCTTCTGCAGAATCCTGTTCATGCTGAATATTCACAAAACTATAATGATTATACTCTTGATTTGTTTTAGGTTTCAGTTTTGATAATATGATACAAATGGATCACTGTCCACTTCTGTGATATCTGTTTTCTGTTTCTTTGATTATATTTATTTATTTTTATGTGTGTGAGTGTTATGCCTGCATGTTGTAAGTGCACCCAGGTCATGCAGTGCCTCAGGAGGACAGAAGAGGCCGTTAGAGTTCCCAGAACAGGAGTTACACATGGTTGTTAGCTGCCATATGAGATTTGAACCCAGGCCTCTACAAGAACAGCCAGTGCTCTTAACCACTGAGTCATATCTCCAGCCCCCTCTTTGTTTATCTTTAAAAGAGTATCATCTTATCAAGAAATGACATTTACCATCCACTAAGATTGAAATCCCAGTGGATTTATTTGAAAATCATAAATTCACCACTATAAACATGAAAAAGGAATACTTTGATTGTTTTAGGAAAGAAAACTTTTGAGTCATGGACAAGTTCACCCACAGAATATAAGTAATGTGTGAAAATAGGTACTTGACGACTCTTTAGCAAAAAGTTCTAGCTATGTGGTCAATATCATTTCAGGCATTCTTTAAGTGTGTATCTCTCCCAAGCTCACTGCAACCAATAACGGTTTATAATTATGGTTGTAGCACCATGAGCCATAAGTTCTTCTTGTGTGTAGCTCCTGGTGGGATTTTCAAGATTGTACTGAGTTGATATCTTAAAATTGAAATTTTGTAAGTGAAACAATTTCTTAAAATAGAAATGTGGGTTGGTGTTTTGGTGACTAGAGAGATCTTGTTACTGGAAATCAGAAAAGTTTAATATTAAATATTCTTACTGTAAACATGATGTTGGCCAAGTAACATTTTGGCTCTAAACATCTTTTTTTTTTTTTGTATTTTCAATAAGGATAATCTTTACACCAGAGAAAGTGAAACTATTATTCAGATAGTTGCCAAATTATTGAATCTATATTGACACATGTGTGTGCACATGAACACATGTAATTCCTATGATGTAAAAACTTAAGTCAGAAGAATATGATATAAAAACAATTCTCATATACATTAAAGGTGATAAGACATTTTGAATGATTTTTAAAAACAATTATTTGAAGAAATTTAATATAGGTGATAACACATCTGCATGTAAATAATGTAAAGGCTGGTGATGTTTTAATAGGTATATTCAGTTTGAGGATGTAAATCCTAGTTAGAATAACTGATGAATTGTATGTTCTGCTCATCACCTCTCATAGTACCTGAAGGGCTTGTTGGAAACCTGACTTATGAGTCCATTTCGTCAACCGAAATAAACGTGACCTGGGCTCCACCATCACAACCAAATGGTCTGGTCTTCTACTATGTTTCACTGAATTCACAGCAAAATCCTCCTCACCACGTGAAACCACCTGTAGTTACACACACAAACAACATATATTTTGATAATCTGGAAAAATATACTGATTATATATTTCAAATCACTCCAGCAACAGAAAAGGGATTCTCTGAGATTTATACTGCTCAGCTGTACATCAAAACTGAAGAAGATGGTAGGCTGGACCTTTTCCTTGCTTATTAAGCAGATTTTTATTGTTTTCTTTATTTGTATTGCTTTCTTATATGAAACATTACTTATGTAAACGTCATTCTTAATGTCTTAAAACTAAAACATTCTGCTAATAAAATTGAGTCCAATTATGACTAAAGCTTCTTTATTGATGGAAATTTCCTCTTGTTTCATTTAACGTTCTCTTTTTCTTTTATAGCCCCAGAAACATCACCAATAATCAACACTTTTAAAAATCTTTCCTCTACCTCAATTCTTTTATCATGGAGTCCCCCATTAAAGCCAAATGGTGCAATAATAAGTTATGATTTAACTTTGCAAGGACCACATGAAAATTATTCTTTCGCTACTTCTGATAACTATATAGTATTGGAAGAGCTTTCGCCATTTACATTATACAGTTTTTTTGCTGCTGCAAGAACTATCAAAGGACCGGGTCCATCTAGTGTTCTTTTCTTTTACACAGATGAGTCAGGTAAGCCGGATCCACACTTCTTCAAATGAGTTCTCCATTCCAGCACTTGCTCTCTCTTTTTAAGGAATAGCATGGACAATGAAAGGATATTAGATCTGTTCATAGCTGACTTACACTTACTCATCAACCTTTCTGAACTTTTTAAAAATTTCTAGCTCAAGCTTCAGAATTATCTGTTGTACTTAAAGCTATTTTGGAGGACTCTGTTTCCTAAATTAAAGCATATTATAATTTATAAATATTTTTGAATTAGTTTCTTCAGCAATTAGAGTCAAGATATTGTTTCTGTGCCACATGGTTTATGAACATAAGTTTTATAATGTGTTTTTCCACAGTGCCATTAACACCTCCTCAAAATTTGACTTTAATTAACTACACTTCAGATTTTGTGTGGCTGAAATGGAGCCCAAGTCCTCTTCCAGGCGGTATTGTTAAAGTATATAGTTTTAAAATTCATGACCATGAAACTAATACTGTGTTGTATAAGGTAGGTTGATTACAACAGTGTATAAACATTTATTTCAAAAATTCAGAAATGAAATTAAACATTTTTGATCTGGGGGAAGGAAAACGGACTGTTTTAAATGAAAAAAAAAAAAAACAACACTGGACAAATTGCTCATTGGTGAAACATTTGCCTTTAATGCACAGGGCCCTGGGTTTAATCCCTAGTACCACAAAAATTAGTTGAACAAGGATATTTGGGTTTTAATCCTTTTGTTTTCTAAAACTTAAGGATGCTTGTGGAGACTATAAGAAAATATTTGTCAAATATGTGGGTTGGCTATTTCATAGAACAATTTACTTAGATTTATAACTTCTACAATTTAAGAAGTAATTGTAACATTTTCTTGATAATGGAAAGTATATAGTAATTTTTATAGTTTATTTAAAATTTAGTATATATAAAGTCTACTATACCTCTATTTAGTCACAAAAACTTTTACATTGGCTGGTGAGAATTATTCCTCTGACATGATCCTACACTAATTAATCTTTTATAATAAATTCTTCTTCTTTAACTCTCAATGTGATTAATTTGTAATCCTTAATATCTCTTCCTTCTTCCATTTTTAGGATCCAGAATCAGTGTGATTATACAATGAGTCTGAAACACGTGTATGATTTCTAGAATTCGATTGTCAAAGTATGTTAAGATTAGGTAACATTAACTTAGGAAAGTTCTTTTTCCAAATGCAAATGAAGTCCTAGAATGTTTACTATTTAGTTACAGCAAGAACAGTGCAAAAACTACAGTAAACATTTAGTATGTGCATTATAATTTAGTACTATGGTAAATCATTTTTATAGCATGTGGTGCAGCTTACAAAAAATCAAGAACAAAAATTTCAGCTATGTCATCAGGGACAATGACTTCCCTTCTGGAAAACAATATCTTATCTTAACATCTTATAGCCTGAATATAATTTGATATTTATAACTTCATAAACATGGAATGATTCCCAGAAGTGTGAAATTATATTAATTGTACAAACACCATATAATCTTTTATTATCAATCTTTTGTTTAATCTCAATGTTTTCACATTTGTTTTTGCATTTTCTTTATGAGTTATGGGAAATGTTAAATAGAAAAAAGAAGAAGAATTTTCTGGAAGTGATTTATCCCTAGAATTATCTTGTATGACATACACACACACATATATATGACTTAATTTCTGTAGAATGGTGATCTCTAACATGAACACCCTTAACAGAATAGCAGAGCAAAAGTTTTGACATCAAATTACATTGTTCAAATCTTGCCTTTGAGATTTACAGTGATGTATTACAGAAGTTGCTTATCTTCTTGAGACTTCAAGTGAAAAATGGTATTTATAAAGGTGCATATATTAAAAAGTGAAGATTATCAGAGGAAATCCATATAAATAGTTTTGTACAATTCCAGGCATATTATAAATGTATTTCTTATTACTGCTGTTGTTATACATAGATTTAAAAAAATATCCCACACAATAGTAACACTGAGCAGGAAATGACAGCATACCATTACCTGAATATGAATTTGATACTTTAAAACATTCTATTATCTGTTTTAGTTTAATATTGTGCCAATAACAGAATATGATCTTTATGCCACAAAATATTAAGTATATAATTTCAGGATATTGTTTTATTTTTAATCTACTGCATACAGTTACATCTGTTTACCACTATTTTTAATTAGTTTTAATGGTCATATTTTCCTTTAAATTCCTTTAAATCTCTTCTCATAACATTTTTTTCTCTTTTTAATTATCATGCCCATCTTTTTCCTGTGTCCAGCTTTCACACCTACTGTTTTGATCAGTTTTCCCTGACAGGATCACTTTCTGTTATGCTTGCTAATCTTATTCTTTTTTCACTTACTTGTGGATTTGTGGAAGCAGAAAAGTACCAGAGTCATTCTACGTGCCTCTTCTCTCACAGTCAGTTCACACTGGAAAATAGACATTGGTATCACTTGGTGGCTTGGCTCACACATATATGCTGAAATAAATAATTTATTTGGTTAAAAAGTTCTTTTAAAACTTGCTTCTGTTTAAACGTGTTCTGCAACCAATAAGCTAGTTTCTCATATTCAATTATTATTTTAATATCATCATAATCATCATTATCATCATTATTATTAGAATTTTTATCATCTTGGGTTCAGTCATTTCTCTGGGCACTAGTCCTTATGAACCTAAATAAATATTTACATGTCTGTGCTTTATTTCTTATTATTTAGCAATGTTGTAAACTTTTATAGTTCACATAAAGTTTTCTCAATGACAAGAATATTAATCTGTATACTCTCCAGATCATCTATCAGTGTGGTTTGTAATAGTAAAGGTAAAAGAATAAGAAGAAATAAGGTGATAAAACAAGTTCCTCTGAATGTCGGTGACTTTTTAGACTGTTCTAAAAATGTGACTCTAGAGTTAATGTAAGTGCCTTATGAATTAGTGTTCTTGGGCTGGCGAGGTGGCTCAGTTGGTAAAGGCACTTGCTGCCAAGCCTGACCACATGAGTTCAGTCCCTGGAACCCACATGTTGGAAAAAGAGAACCAATCTTTACAAGTTGTGTTCTGACCTCCACATGAGCACTGTGGTACAAGTGCCTCCCCGCCTCCCCCCCATTCACAGCACACATACAAAATGAATAAATAAATAGAACAATATCCTTGCTAAATATCTAACACCAAACTGTGAAATAAACAACCAATATGACTTTTGTTTTGACAGATGTAATGTAATATTCTTAAATATATACCACATAGGCAATTGTCCTTTCTCTACAAATAATTGATTATCTTGACTGTCATCTTTGATTAGGACATGCTTTCAAATAAAAATTTTATTATTGATGACCAATTTTCTGTGAGAAAGCAAACATATTTTTATTTGGTTAGAAATGACAACTTTTCCATTCCTTTCTTCATTTTTTTTCTAAAAATTGTATCAAATTAGAAATTTAGTTGCTGTATGAAAAGCTCTCAAGTTCATGGAAGCAGAGATTTTGTTTTATTTGTAGCTTTATTTGCAGTGGTTAGAATACCATAGCTGATGAATAAATTAACTTACAGAGATATATTTGTGGGTATTAAAAATGAGTATAAATGAATTCTGAAGAAATTAAGTACTATCCTGACCCATTTCAAATTGTATTTAAATGGACACTTTAGAAAATATAAAGAAAATTGAAAAGTATCTACTTCTATATCAAAATCAGGGAAACAAGATGAAAACAAAATACTTTGGCTTTTAAAAAATGAAAATTATGAGATAGTGCCCATTTAAATA